ACTTTTAGTAATTAACTAACGGTAAAAAGTTAGTAGGTAGACGTAAGTATTATATTAAATACTACTAACTAAACCTACTATATAAATATACACGAAACTAATTTACCCTTAGGGCATAGTTAAACTTAATCACTAAACTACCTGTACCTCTCCAGAGGGATAACCGAAAAACCAAAAGATAGTGTTTAGTTGATTAAATTATATATATATATATATATATATATATATATTTGTTTATGTTTTGTTTTATGTACTCTAGAATGTCGCAAAATTCTGTTGCCAATCATTAATGATCATGTATGTCGACTCCTGGAAAAGCAAGAAAGGAAGGAAGAAACAGATATTTGTGTGAAAATTTTGAGTGACATATTAACAGTGTTACATAATCGTGGTGTAGAAGAGACTTATCAGGATATAGCTGACCTCATGCTCTCAGTCCTGCGGACAGTAATTCAGAGTGTCATTGCAATGGAGCGGGATCAATCATTGGTTGTAAGATCCAAATGCACATTTTTTATAACATTTTAACTTTAGTTTTAAACTAAAAGATATAGTGCTGCTGTAATTCTAAGTATTTGTTAATTCTTTTGTCAATCCTAGATTTTAACCTATTATTCTAAATTATCTTTTATACAGAGTGACCAATTAGCATGTTAATTTGTATGTGGTGTCAAGGAGCATACTTTTCTTACCCTAGTCCTCAATGTTTACTCCAGAATCACAGTTGCAGTACAGCTCAAAACTATTTTCTTAGATACATTTAGTTGACTTTAATATTAGTTATGATTAATGTTATCCAGAAATTATTTGAAGTTGTATTTCCTAATATGTTTCATTTGAATTTCATATATTCTCTATTTAAAAATTTATTGTTGACTGTATTATGGCTCTGGCAGTCTATGTGTTGGTCTATATATATTGGATGATGAAAATATCGATTGTGATTGTCTTATTAGTTGATTGAGAATTAGTAGAAAATTTCTGACTTTAATTACTTTTCTGCATTCAACCAACTCATAAAATGAGTTAATGTGGTTTTTGTTCTTTTTTAAATCAAAAGGCTCTAAATTACACATTATGCCATATGAATAATCATTGTTTTAAACGTGAAATGATAAATTTTCGTTTTCAGAGACTTTTGACGTAGTATTGAATCCAAGAACAATGTTAATGTTGTTGTGATATTTTCTATTGTTGGTCACGTTCGTTTAGATTATTTGATAAAATTCATGCCAAGTCCAGTCCACATAACAATAACAAATTAATTTATTTCTTCTAATTTTCTATAGGCTACATTCACTTTGGCACAAGTTGTAAACCTAGATTCACAAATAATGTTTTCATAGAAATTCCTCATTAATGGGACTACACCTAACTTACAAAAATTAACCTACTTGCACAATTCTATTGCTATTTGATCGAGTAACTGAATATATGCAGTAACTCCCACTGAATAACTTTTCTGACACTGAACCAAACTCTTATACTAAATACTTTACTGAATCTGATTTTCTACTCATATTTATAAGTAATGTGTCCTTGTCTCTAGATATTAGATGAAGATTCTTGATAACTAAATCATCATAGTTAGGAGCACCTTCTAGGAAACAGCCAAACTATAACATTAAAAATATAGTTTACAACAACATGTTAAAACACCTACAAAATGAAATGTGATCTTAGCTTATTGTGACATAGCACTTTCTTCTTCATTAAGGAAAAACCAGCTGGCAGGGAAACCACACTGCATGTAAAAATTATTGGTGTTAAAAGTATTAAAAAGTTTGAATACTACCTGCTAGACTTCTCAGGTATAGAATGCTTAGCATAATATTAATTATCTACATACCTTGTACTTAATATTCATTCACACAGGATACATAGAAGTTACATTTTATATTTTAATTCTACGATTTCTCAAATATGAAACATTAGATATGGTATTAATTGTAAAAACTGAACACTTTTCTCTCTTACCAGGGTAACTTGGTGGCAGTAATGCTGGCAATCCTCAGACAGATGACACCAGCACACTACAATCAGTATATCAACCACTTTGTCACACGCACAGATCTTATTGATTTTCTTATGGAAATTTTACTTGTCTTCCGTGACTTGGTTAGCAAGAATGTCTACCAAAAAGACTGGAATGAAATGATCATGCTGCAAAACAGGTACATTTTTTCCTATAGGTATATAAAGTAACCAACCCAACTTTTTTTGCATCTTTAGTAGAAAATACATAAATGTGTAGAAGGTCCAGTATGTAATGACATTGACGTACAAGATACATGCGAAGTTGTGTAGCTTCAAAATAACTTATGTTTATGTATTTGTTTTACATTCAAGACAAACATGTTTAAACAAACTGCTCAACACAATTAAAGAAAAGTTATAAAAGTAGAAAAAAGTAGAAAATGTAATTCTAATATAGTAAAATCATATTCAAATTTAAACATTTTTTTGCCTAAAAATGAAATCAAACTCAGCCAGTATTGTTAAAATTAAAAGGTATCTCTTTGTTATTACTTTAGCAAATTATTTTCAGTAGTGTTGGAATGGTTTAACCAGTTGACAAATTAAAAATTTTTTCAGTAGCTAAAGGAAAAGAAGTGATAAATAGGTCATATAAGCAATTTTCAGGGTGCATACGCATCCTTGAAAATTATTGAAAAAGTACTTGAAAATATCATAATAGCAGAATATCTCAATATATCTAACTTTAATGCATGTTGCTGAGTTGAGCACAATAAATAGTCTTTTTCTTTTTAGTCAACATTCATATGTTGAACAAATAAATAAGAATTTTATAGTTTCAGTGAAATTTAATTGATTTTGATGTAGATTTTAACTTCCAAAAAGTGCTTGGACAAACATTCTGAGAGTGCTTAGAATGTCCTTGAAAAGTGTTTGAAATTGGTCTGAGCAATTCAGTATGAACCATGAATTTTTTAGTTCAGTTGATAATAAGACTTTTAGGAGTGTAAACTGTTAACAAAGACATGAAATGACCTGGTGGTTAGGGCACTTATCTTGTAACCTGCAAGTTGGGAGTTTGAATCCCATTACCGAATATGCTCACCCTTTCAGCCATGGGAATGTTATAATGTGAAAGTCAATCCCACTTTTTTTTGGTAAGAAAGAATAGTCCAAATGTTGGCAGTGGATCATGTTGACCAGTTGCCTTTCTTATAGTCAGTTACTTCTAAATTATGGAAGGCTATGGCAAATAACCCTCAAATAGTATTGGGCAAAATCAACACACACACTTTGAACAACAATAAAATTGTAAAACATTTTAAAGTTGTGTAAATTTCTAGTTTTTAACATATTAATTATTCTGTTTTCTCAAACCCAGAAACACAAAAGTTTAACCTGATATGTATCTGATTGTTTGAAATTGTTTGTAAAATGTTTTAAACCAAATAAAGCATGTAGAAGATGTATTTGTGAAGGTTTTTGGTCAGGTTTTGCATATTTTTTAAGAATTATTTAAGAAAATAAGTGGAAATTTAATTCTTATTTTGTGTTTTTATATTGGTTATGTGTTAAAATAGCAAATGATTTTCATCAAAATATGATAAAATAGTCAAATACATTTTTATCCTTTGTAGAGAAAAATTTCTATTAACTCATTTAATTATTTTTCCCCAGCATTATTTTAAAAGCTCTGAGGTATTTTTCCCACACATTGCGTGACTATTTAACAAACCCATTTGAGTATCAGGTGAGTTAATTTATAGGTTACTAGTAAACAATTAAAAGTAAATAGCACTAAAATAATAGTTGTGTGAAATTTTATTTTTTCTCCATACTTGTTTTAATTTTGTCGTAAATAAACCAAATAAAATATCATTTTTCATATCTGGGTGGCTTCATTTTTCTGCTTTGTCAAAAGTGTTTATAAAGTTTTATATGTAACATAAGAATATTATCATATAAATTTCTTTACACTGTAATTATAAATTTAGACAGAACTATAAGTAGAAAAAAGGAAGTGAAAATCAATAATATTGAGCATTTGTTCCCAAATATTGTTGAGTGTATTATAATTTCTTAGTAAAGGAATTAAGAATTAACATGCTTCAATGGGAATCATTTAAACATTAGTGCATACTCCCTTTGCACTTTGTATATTTCAAGACATCGGTTTACTTGTAGATGTTTATAAGAAGGCAAAAATTGTAAATGGTTTCATTGTAAGGAAATTTTATTTTGACATCCTTTTAAATCTTTCATCAGGTAGTGCCAATTGATATGTTTAGGCTCAAAAATATTTTAAACATAAAATCATATGATAAGTTATATCCACTGTATTCATTAATACCTCTCTTGCTTCCTTATGTGTTAGTCCTTGTGGATACTTTTGTCTTTTATTTATATCTTCACAGCTTTTATCAAAAACATTTTTATCACCTCTGGAGTCAAAACTTTGCTTAGCCATTTGTAAATCTGTTTTGAAATAGGTATAGTAGTTTCCATGCTTCAGTAGAATAACTTTCACTTCTCTTCATATACTTTACTTTTAAAACTTGAATGAAAAAAACTGTGTCAGACCCACTATTGCATTGTAGTAATTTTCCATTTTCAAACTCCAGTTTCTCAGTTTTTTAGGGAAAATACTATATTAGATGCACTATTACAATTTTCTATTTTATGCTTCATTTTCTAAATTTTGTATGGAAAGTAAATATATTAATTTTTGACCTTCCTTTATTCTATGGGCAATTTTTATCACCTCTGGAGTCAAAACTTTGCTTAGCCATTTGTAAATCTGTTTTTAAATAGGTATAGTAGTTTCCATGCTTCAGTAGAATAACTTTCACTTCTCTTCATATACTTTACTTTTAAAACTTGAATGAAAAAAACTGTGTCAGACCCACTATTGTATTGTAGTAATTTTCCCTTTTCAAGCTCCAGTTTCTCAGTTTTTTAGGGAAAATACTATATTAGATGCACTATTACAATTTTCTATTTTATGCTTCATTTTCTAAATTTTGTATGGAAAGTAAATATATTAATTTTTGACCTTCCTTTATTCTATGGGCAAAGCATAGCCAAATGGTTAAGCATGCTGGATTGTGGATCTGTGGTTTATTCCCTGTTACCAACAAATAATAGTCATGTTCCTCACTTTAGGGCTGTGTATGTGTTATAAGAGTGATGGTGAAATGACAGTATTTGATTAGAGTTGGTGATGAATAGTATTGACTAACTTCCTTCCCTTTGGTTTATCACTTTCAAATTAGGGAAGACTGGTGCTTATAGCCCTCGAGTAGCTTCACCTCAAAATTCAACAAATATACAAGCTTTTATACTTCCTTTCTTAATCCTGTATGGAAAGTAAATATGTTAGACTCTCTGCTATACAGTTGCTCAATCTTTTTGAAAAATGCTATAGCAGATTCCCCCACTGATCTGTAGCAGATTGATAATCTCAAGGTTAAACCCTTCTCACAGCTTCATCTCCATAAAAACTAGTGGTTTGTGAATCTAGTATGCGGAAGGATGTGTGTAGTGATTCATCATAGGTGGATTGAAAGAGACAAGATATGGTGTGGATGTAACAATGAATGTAGAATGCTTTATATTGAACTAAAAATAAAAACAAAATGAATGAATAATGTAGCTGATTGGTGATTTGTAAGACTATTATGTTGTGAATAAAGGGAAATCAAAAATTAAGTAATTGAATACACACTATCAGTAGACTGAACAAAATAAAAAAATGCTCTACAAAACGTTTTGTCTCCTTCAAAATGAAAACAAAAGTTTTCTCCTAGGAGGTCAGAAATAATTTCTTAACTAAACTGTACTCGCAAAACACCTTATCTCTGCAGTTGACCAATTAGAAGATTGACAGTAATATGGAAGTAACTGTTAAAGCAGGATACAGCACAACAATCTCATTAAACTTGACTGCACTCACTACAAAAATTAATACCTCAGGCTGAGTTGAGCATATTGAACTCAACCAGATTTAGTATGTTCCAGAATTAGAACTCAGAAACATTTTAAAGTTTTACAAGTATGAAATACAAGCTGTGGAGAGTAAAGTATGTAGTATTTTTCTCTACCTCTTCCCTGTTTGTCAATCTTCTGTTGAAATACAAGCTGTGGAGAGTAAAGTATGTAGTATTTTTCTCTACCTCTTCCCTGTTTGTCAATCTTCTGTTGAAATATAAGCTGTGGAGAGTAAAGTGTGTAGTATTTTTCTATACCTCTTCCCTGTTTGTCAATCTTCTGTTGAAATATAAGCTGTGGAGAGTAAAGTGTGTAGTATTTTTCTCTACTTCTTTCCTGTTTGTCAGTCTTCTGTTGAAAAATGTATTTTAGTATCTCCACTACAATGTGCTACATTTTTTCAATCTTATATTAAGAGATATTTTAGTAAATTTCTTACTGCTCTATGGTAATTTTTCTTTTACATTTTTTCAATCTTATGTTAAGAGGTATGAGGATAGATTTCTTTCTGTTATATAATAATTTTTCCTTCTCTTCCACTTTTTTAATCTTATGTTAAGAGATGATATTATAATAGTCTTCCTACTGTCTATAATATTTGTTTATATTCCTGCTCCTGTTTTTAATTTTGCTTTGAAATTACTATACTACATGTCCTAAATACTGTGTAGTAATTCTCTTTTCTGTTTTCATTTATGCTTCTGGTTTTAATCCTATTTTGAAAGAAAGTATTTTAATAGTAAGTTTGCTGACTTAGAACATTAAAGCCCAAGGTTTGCTTCTGTGTGGCACACAAATTACAGATAGCCCATTAGGTAGCTTAGTGTTAAAAACAAAGAAACAAACACCCCACCCCTTCATATTGTAGTTTTTTGGATCTGTATGTTTGTGATACCTATATTTTAGAGTTTAAATGAAAGTTTATCCTGATATTAAACTATATAATAGAATGCTTCTATCTTTTTCACACTGAAATATGTACCTGTTTATAACCATTAAGTGATTGTATTATAAGAGCTGCACATTAAGGTTAGTCTGAGAAAGGGTTTTGATTATAAACTGGTTTTGTGAAGATGTTACATATGTTGCATTAATAAATGAAACATTTGTAGACACATACCTCTTGCATTCATCTGTATTTAGAAACAAAAAATCTCTCAGAAGACGAGTTTATGGAAAAGTTTTAATCAAAGCCACATTTGAGATAGCTTGACCTAGATTTTGCAGTTCAAAAGATAATGACATTTTGATTCATAAATTTCAACTTAGGAAGCTTTATTCAAATCATGGAAACATTAGGATTTGGATATAATTTTAGGTCATTAAAATTTAAATTATTTAAATTTCAGTTCTTATCTTTACAAGGAAAACACTTTATATGTTTGAAGTTAAGTGTAATAATAAAACTTGTACATAATTATTTTGTGGATAGGTTTGGAACAACTTCTTTCATTGTGCCATCTCATTCTTAACCCAAGATGCACTACAGCTTGAGAATTTCTTTCCAAATAAAAGAAATAAAATAATTTCAAGGTGAGTTTTTATACAATTTTTTCCACAGTGATCAGTACACTAAAGTTTCTATTCACAGCTTTAAATTCAAATTCAAACTTAATCATAAATGTGCTTTATTATCTTTTATAAACATAATATTCAATATGTAAGAAAACTGTTAAACATCAGGGGTATGCTTGATTTGCTGGTCCAGAACATATCCTGGATATTCTTTTCCAGTGGATGAATCCAGTGAACAAGAAAAGGAAGTTACAATTTCCAATATAGCAGAAAATGCATAAGCCCTCATTACTTTTTTGTTTCAAGGTAAATTTGATGTTGATGCTGAGCAAAGTGATGATGAAATAGTCCAACATTTATATCCAGGCTAACCCCTGTGTTGTTAATGATTAGAATAATTATTATGTGACCAATACTCTTCTTAAAAAACAGAAATAAATGTTTACAAAATATATTCTGCATTGTAGCAAAATATTTTAAGCACATGCAACTTTGATTCACTTCCTCTGCCCTCTTGATGATGTCCCTATTCCCTTTACACCATTTCTTCATTGAGAGCAGATGGAAGAAATCCAAAACACTGTTCCAAACAATTTTGTTGCTGCTGTGGGAATTCTAATAAATGTAAGTATAATAAAATATTCAGATTTCCTTGAAGATGAAATAGGTGTACTCTGAAATGTTTAAAATCTTTCCCCAGCATGAATCCATTGCCAGTGTTCATACCATGTTTAGTGAAATATTATAAAGTTGCTGATCTGTTGAATATAACTGTTACTTTTTTAGATTTCTTTTTTAAATAAATACAAGTTTGCTAATTTTTTTCAAATATTACCAAATGTTTGTTACATAAGTGAATTATGCTAACAATATTGCCAGAATAGAATATCACTGGCAACTTGCATCTGACAATAGCTTGTGAGTAATGTACTGTATGTTAGCTGTACTCATTATTTTATTAATACAATGATACATTGTTGTATAGGTACAAAGATATGAGAAGAGAAACTGGATTTGAAATTCGTTCAATGTGGTTTAACCTTGGTAAGTACAAAAAGAATGCATTGTTCAGTTTGCTTATTTCTCATAGTAATAAATTTTATCAAAAATATTATTTTATGTTTTTTATTTTCTTTTATCAGCTTGCATTTACACTTCCTAATTTTAAGCAACAGAATTGAAGTATGTTTATATTAACTAGTCCTCTTCAAAGAAAGCTGTACAGTAGACCAAAGCAGGATACTACTGTTCATTAGTAAAGAAAATGATTCTGTGATCATTTGAGTACATGACTGGATTTCATAAGAATGATAATTCTGATTCCTCCGGACTGGTTATGGCCTGCTGGTTTGCCAGTGTTGCCCTCTTCTTTGAGGGCTCCCTCTTGGGGGTGTCCTTAGGACACTTTCGAAGGATGCTTCTCTGTTTTCCCTTGACAGTAGACCAAAGCAGGATACTACTGTTCATTAGTAAAGAAAATGATTCTGTGATCATTTGAGTACATGACTGGATTTCATAAGAATGATAATTCTGATTCCTCCGGACTGGTTATGGCCTGTTGGTTTGCCAGTGTTGCCCTCTTCTTTGAGGGCTCCCTCTTGGGGGTGTCCTTAGGACACTTTCGAAGGATGCTTCTCTGTTTTCCCTCCACCAATTCAATGTAAGATTCTAGCTATGTATGTGAGTGGAAGTAAGGTACCTCATCAGAAGTTATAATTTTTCTACACTGAAAATATATTTCCAACATTTTCTTACTTCCACTCACACTTCCCACCATTTCTCCCTACTGTCTACTGGTGCTTAGTTTTCTGCCTAAACTCCAAATGATAGTTAGGTAGAATAGCATAAAGGGAGTCACATGAGTCATGTTTGTGTGGGGCATGTCTACTGGTGGAAGTTTGTCGAATATAATTTGTATGCATGATTCAGTTAAACCGTGTGAATCGAGGGGTACTTGAAATGAAAGGCTTTTTGCAAGCAGAGGGCAGCACTGAATGAGAATAACTATGTATGTGAGTGGAAGTAAGTTCCTGTCAGAAATATATTTTCAGTGTGGGAAAATTATAAAAATTTTTAGCAAAGTATTTTTAATAAACTAAAAAAGATTTGTCCAAAAATATATCTATTTTTTTTATTAGTCCAAGTGCAAAGTGATTTTCATGTTAAGATTAAAAGTACTTTTTTCATCTCAAATATCATTTGCATAATCTCTATAAACCCCGAATTACATTTCAAACATTTTTTCAATAAAACTTTATAATTTATTTCTTATTTTTTCTAACTTAACTCTATAAAAAAGATCAGTCAATTTGACCGACCTCGTAACCACCAATATAAAATCTAACTAACCCTTTTTACTTTCCAGAATGACTTCAAATTGTAACATGAAACTACATTTGTTTATCCTAAGTAGCTTTAAACTCTTAACACTATACATGTGTTTTTATTTAAATTTTATCATTTTATTGCCCTTTGAACCAAGTCTAACTACTACTCCTGCAATTATAAGTTATAAACCACTTGAAGAATGTGAGGCTCATGATACATTATCGAATTACATTGGAGGGATGGTGAATAAAGTAGAGAAGAGGGGATGCCTTGAGAAAAAGTGTCATTTCTCACACTAGGGAAAATTCGAGATTTTTTAAATATTGCCTTTTAAAACGTATGTGGAACTAGACAATGAGTTGGATGAAAATAACTAATTTACATGAGTACCAATCACTTTGCTGGTACTCATTTGGGAACCTGATATGAAAAATTATGTGAACCCCTACTTATAATGTTAAAAGTCGGGGCTCAATCCCTGTGGTGGGCACAATGGCAATAGCTAATTATTCAGCTTTGTGCTTAAAACAAACAAACAGTTCAATTCTTTCACTACATGTTTATTTTATTACACAGTACAGCAGGCTTTTCTGGTGTTTTCTTGTGTGAGGATTATTATAATACTTCTGTTTTTATAGTGTCAAGAACAGATATATATACTTTTCCCTTAAAACTTGATTCATCATCTGTGGCTACATAATATTTTTTCATTTTTAAGATGGAAGCTGAAGAGTCATTTTTGACTACTTAGTTTTATATTCAACTTTGTTCCAGTGGACAAGAAGTTTATAGCAGAATGATGAATGTGTATTTATAGTAGTTTTAAAGAGATATTTTTGATGTATGCTCTGTTTTTACTCATAGGTCAGCACAAGATTCGTTTTGTCCCTGAAATGATTGGTCCTTTCCTGGAAATGACTCTCATTCCTGAAGCAGAGCTACGAAAAGCCACTATTCCAATTTTCTTTGACATGATGCAGTGTGAGTTTTACTTGCCTCGTGTCACCACCCTTTCATACCATGATGATATTCATATCCATAATCGCGGCATAAAAGGCAACTTTCATGAGGTATTACTTAATTTCGAATTGCACATCATAACTTTCAGTTTATTTGCAAGTACAGAGAGTAATAATTGTAATTATACATGTTTAAACTTTCTATAAAAGGTGATGCAATCAAAGTAACTTCTGTGATGCTATGGTGCCTATAGTTTAAAGTAAACTATATGTTGAAAAGCATTTAAACTCTCTCCCAGGTTTATTGATTTTTTGTTTTATTTAACTTTTTCAATCAGATTAGATGCATGGAAGTTTGTTACCACTAAAATTATCACATCATTAATCATTGTTGTTCATTTGAAGCTTTAAATTTACTTTTTTGAGTCAAACTGAAATTGGTACTGAACTCACACTTTCTATATAGAATCTTTATTCCTTGATAAAGTCAATGGAAGTAGTTTAAATGGGTCAGAAATTTGTATGTAAGTAGAAAATCAGCATAAAATATTTTAACATTAAACTCTTTTCATACTGAAAACAGTTGCAAATGATTGATAAAAGCATGCATTCATATATAAAGACATCGGCTGGAGATTATGATATCAACATTAAAACAGAATTCCTTCCAACAAAGAAAAATAATATGTGTATATTAACCCTTTCATGATGGGCTTGGTATTATATACATGAGTTAACTATTTATACTATAACTTTTAATGCAGAAAGTATATCTTCACAAAATTTGGTAGACTTTTAGTAAATATTACAAGTCTTTTGTACACAAAAAATCAGATTTTATAATGAAGTATTTTTACCACACATTTGTTTGTAAAAATATTGAGTCTGTTTCATTACCAGTTCAAATCCGAAGTGGTTTTCATGTTGTAACTAAACAACTATTATGTCATCACAAAAATCTCAAATATTATTTGTGTAATCTCTAAAACTTCCTAAGTACATTTCAAACGTTTGTTTTCAGTAAAACTTTATATTTTTTTGTGTTAGTTTCTGTACCCCTACTCTATCTCATAACCACCATAAAAAATTAGGAA